TCTGAATATCAACATCATAATATAGGTAATTAATTACTTGCATATATTTTAATTACTCATTTATTTATGTGATAAAGCCAATTCTCATTTCTCATAAATAAAATAGTACATTTGGATTTATCACCAAATAATATAATGTATTTTCGTGATGAAAACTGGAAATTGGTGGATTTTGATTCTGCATGTATAGCAGATAATACTTATGTGCCTAAAATTACAACAATAAAATATTGCAGTCCTGAATTAATACAAGCTGAAGAAGATGGAAAACAGATAAAAGCACAATTTACCATGGATATGTACTCATTTGGATTAATTTTATATTACATTGAAAATGGTTATTGGAATATTGCCAATCAAAAATATCCTGATAAAGAGTTACTGATGACTACTTTTAGGGGAGATGCTCATGCTATTTATGTTATTAAAAGTTTGTTGGAAAAAAATCCTAACAAAAGGTATAAATCTATTTCAATATTTTATAACTTTTCTTATATTTTTATTTACATACACACAGTTAATCCTTTTCTTTTTTCTATGAAATCACTTTAGAATAACGTTGGCTCAATTTAAAGTAAGAATGAAATTTTATTTAGAAAAGAAAATTTGCATTTTTGAAGTTTATTAATATTATAACTTTTATAAAAGGAAACAACATATTATGAGAGTTTATCAAAAGACAACACCCAAAATGAAACCATTGTAGAAAGCAAGTATTCTTTTCTCAGTATGAGGAGGTGCAATAAACAATAAACATTGATAATAATCTTTTTCTATTCTTTGTTTCTTTAGGACAGGCTTATCATGAAAAATGTAAAGTGCAAATTGAAAAAGAGGCCAAAGAACTTAATCCAGATATAAAAGATGATGAATTAAAACAAATGAATGTTGATTTACAACAGGTAGAGTTTCAAATTATAATTAATATAAATATAAAATTTGCATATGAATAATCACCATGTTCTATGTATGTAGGAACAATCTTTGGTGTTCTTGGAAAGATATCATCAAGGAATCAAAATATGTTTGAAAGAGATGAACAAGAAAGTAGAAGAGTGTATTGCTG